GAGGACCTGAGAGCCTCATGCAAGCTGTTCCCTTGAGGACGCCCCCATGCATACATTACTTCATGCAAGTCGTTCCCTTGAGGACGCCTCCAGGTATCAAATGCCCTCGGCCATTTGTGTTTCACAAAATAACACCCTTCCCTGAAACGCTTTTTGCGCCATTCCCCAAGGGAATGACAGGTAACGGACTATGTCCCGGGCCGAGGAAACGATTCTCAAACCCCTCAGGGTTCGGAAGGACAACCCCCACCAATATATTTGCTCACCGGCCCAAGGCCCCCTCTTTCTCCAAAGAGCATGTGAGCGGCCAAGCCTTCATGACCTATATGTTTCATAAGCGGCCCAAGGCCCCCTCCTCTTCAAAAATGAGTGGTCAAGCCTTCATCTCCTCACCAAAATAGGCCTAAAGCCCCCTCCTCTCATGAGGAGGAACACCATATGACATCACCAATCAAGGTACCAAGTACCAAATGTGCGGGTTACCCCCACCACTCTTTAAAAACACCAAGTGTTCTTAACTAAGCCGTACCCCACGAGGACGCCCTCATGCATACATTATGCATACTTATACATACTCTCCAAAAAAAACGGGGGGTACAATACCCCTCGGCTCCGGCTGGTACCAAGTGCCCCCGGCTATTTGTGTTCTACACACAAATAAAACCCTTCCCAGAAACGCTTTCTGCGCCACCCCCCAAGGGGAGGCAGGCAACGGACCATGTCCCGGGCCCAGTATTCGACTTTCAAAACCGAGGCGCTTTCCGTGCTATCCCCCAAGGGGAAGCAGGCAACAGACGATGTCTCGGGCCGAGGAAACGACCCTCAAACCCTTCGGGATATCGGAAGGTCATTCCAGAAGGGGGAGCCAACGGTTTGCTCCGTTGCCTCCCATATAGGCCAAGCCTTTCCTTGAAACCAAGTTTCTTGATGCCCCTCCTACAACATGCAAAAAAAAAAAAAGAAAAAAAAAGAAAAAGAAAAAGATGTGTAGGGGGGAAGGAACTCCCGGGATACTTTTCTCCCCGGAGGCTCAACAACAATCCAGAGATACATTCCCGAAGGCTATTTCTAAAGATGCAAGGGAATCTCTAAATACAAAGTCATTCGACTACATGTCCGAAGGCTACTACATGGAACCTACTACATGAAGGTTCCACTGCAAGGAAGAAGGCTCACCAGCAGACTTCACCAAAATTTGGCTAAGTCCACAACTACAAGCCCTCGGCATTACCTCTCCCAGGAGCCTTCAGCCTCAAGGAGGGCACAAGAGTCTTGAACCCTCATGTCGCACGGAAGCTTTCGGGCATGAGCCCTCAACGCATGGCATTCGTGCCATCGCCCTCATGACCAGCGCGTGGCCTTCATGCTGTCAGCGCCTTCATCCTCGGGTTCCAACATTCATACGGAAGCCCTCAGTCATGAGCCCCCAGCGTATGGCCTTCATGCCATCGCCCTCATGACCAGCGCCTGGCCCTCATGCCAGCGCCTTCATCATCAGGTTCCAACCTTCATATGGGAGCCTTTGGTCATGAGCCCTCAGCGCATGGACTTCATGCCATCGCCCTCATGACCAGCGCCTAGCCCTCATGCCAGCGCCTTCATCATCAGGTTCCAACCTTCATATGGAAGCCTTTGGTCATGAGACCTCAGCGTGTGGCCTTCATGCCACCGCCCTCATGACCAGTGTCTGGCTCTCATGCCAGCGCCTTCATCATCAGGTTCCAACATTTATATGGAAGCCTTTGGTCATGAGCCCTCAGCGTGTGGCCTTCATGCCACCGCCCTCATGACCAGCGCCTGGCCCTCATGCTAGCGCCTTCATCATCGGGTTCCAAGATTTATGCGGAAGCCTTTGGTCATGAGCCCTCAGCGTGTGGCCTTCATGCCACCGCCCTCATGACCAGCGTCTGGCCCTCATGCCAGCGCCTTCATCATCAGGTTTCAACCTTCATATGGAAGCCTTTGGTAATGAGCCCTCAGCATATGGCCTTCATGCCATCGCCCTCATGACCAGCGTCTGGCCCTCATGCTAGCGCCTTCATCATCGGGTTCCAAGATTTATGCGGAGGCCTTTGGTCATGAGCCCTCAGCGTGTGGCCTTCATGCCACCGCCCTCATGACCAGCGTCTGGCCCTCATGCCAGCGCCTTCATCATCAGGTTCCAACATTTATATGGAAGCCTTTGGTCATGAGCCCTCAGCGTGGGGCCTTCATGCCACCGCCCTCATGACCAGCGCCCGGCCCTCATGCCAGCGCCTTCGTCCTCGGGTTCCAACCTCTAAACGGAAGCCCTCAGTCATGAACCCTCAGCGCGTGGCTTTCATGCCATCGCCCTCATGACCAGCGCCTGGCCCTCATGCCAGCGCCTTCATCTTCAGGTTACAACCTTCAGACGGAAGCCTTCGGTCATGAGCCCTCAGCGCATGGCCTTCATGCCATCGCCCCCATGACCAGCGCCTGGTCCTCATGATAGCGCCTTCATCCTCAGGTTCTAACCTTCAGACGGAAGCTCCCGCTCATGAGCCCTCAACGCGTGGCCTTCATGCCATCGCGCTCATGGCCATCACGGCAGACCCCCTGGTCTCAACGTGATCATCTGTCTCACGACCGGCCTCATCCCCTCACTTCATGGATGAGGACCGTTGCATGGATTTCAGGATCGGCCCATCAGCGTCGACATCCTTGCATCACGGCAGACCCCTTAGTCTCAACGTGATCATTCATCCGGTGACACGGCAGACCCCTTGGTCTCAACGTGATCATCTTTCTGAAGACTGGTCTCATCCCCTCACTTCATGGATGAGGACCGTTGCATGGATTTAAGGATCGGCCCGTCAGCATCGACATCCTTGCATCACGGCAGACCCCTTGGTCTCAACGTGATCATTCATCCGGTGACACGGCAGATCCCTTGGTCTCAACGTGATCATCTTTTCTGAAGACCGGCCTCATCCCCTCACTTCATGGATGAGGACCGTTGCGTGGACTTCGGACTGGCCCCTCAATGCCGTCGTCCTTGCATCACGGCAGACCCCTTGGTCTCAACGTGATCATCCATCTGATGACACGGCAGACCCCTTGGTCTCAACGTGATCATCTTTCTGAAGACCGGCCTCATCCCCTCACTTCATGGATGAGGACCGTTGCATGGACTTCGGACTGGCCCCTCAATGCCGCCGTCCTTGCATCACGGCAGACCCCTTGGTCTCAACGTGATCGTTCATCCGAGGACACGGCAGACCCCTTGGTCTCAACGTGATCATCTTTCTGAAGACTGGTCTCATCCTCCCACTCCATGGATGAGGACTGTTGCGTGGATTTCCAGACCGGCCCCCCAGCGCCGATGTACTTGCATCACGGCAGACCCCTCGGTCTCAACGTGATCATTCATATGATGACACGGCAGACCCCTTGGTCTCAACGTGATCATCTGTCCCAAGACCGGCCTCATCCTCTCACTTCATGGATGAGGACCGTTGTGTGGATTTCCGGACCAGCGCGTGGCCCTCACGTCAGCGCCCTTACCTTCAGCGCCTGGACTTCATACCAGGGCCTCCATGCTTAGTGTGTGGTCTTCAAGCTCAGGCATGCTTTTAACATCGTGCCCTCATCTGATTGGGGTTCCCATCCCTCCCTGGATGGCGACCATCGCCTTCATCAATTCAGGTCAGCCGTCGTGCTGAAGTCAGCATCTCATGCATACCTTCAGCGCCACGCCTTCATGCCTTCATCTTGCGATTGGGCTCCCATCTCATGACGACTATCGCCCTCATGTTTCGTGCGACCGTCGCCCCCATCATCATTTTAGTCAGGACCTCGACTAAGGGTTTTGCTCAGATGCCCTCGGCACCCCTTGGCCACGACGCCCTCGGCACCCCTCGACCATGATGTTCTCGGCACCCCTCGGCCATGACGCCCTCGGCACCCCTCGGCCATGAAGCCTCCCACCATACATGAAGCCTTCGGGTAACATTCCAACGGCTATATTGCGAAGTGGCCTCAGCTAGCACCCTTCGGCACACAGACAACAGTTTCCTTCGGGTTCCTATGCCTTCGAGCAAGAGCCATATAAGCCTTCGGCTTATCACACATTATCAACCCCTCACACATATAGCCCTCGGGTCAATACATCACAATAAGACTCCTCCAGCCCGAACTTGCCTTCGGCCTAAAGGAGTGAGGGACTGGGATACACCCCTCGGGAATCACACATGACTAATGATGGAGTATATGGCCCAGGGACCCCTGGCCCATAGACTCCTACTTCTCCTACACAAGTCCATTGAGCCCAGAGAACAACTCAGGCCCAAATGCAACGGCCCAAACCTCAAAGAAATCCGGAATACACACTGGGGTACCTTCGGCCTCATTGGCCGAAGGCTCCAAAACTCACAGGGTAGCCTTCTCTGGCATAAGAAGTTACTGGGAGAAAATGGCGAAAAACATGAGCCTTCGGCATCATCAAGCCCTCGGCATCAGGGAAGCCTTCGGCTGGATCAAGCCTCCGGTCACACAAGGCCTTCGGGAAAAAATGGCATTGTTTGCACCAGTTGGAGGTGGTGGTGCAGGGAGGTAGTACAGGCGGCTGGAAAGACATCCATATGTTTTTTAATTTTTTATGGAGTTTTACTATTTTTTATTAATTTAAAAAAACATTAAAAAATCTTTTTAAATTTTTTATTTTATAAATATTTTATTATTATTTAATTATTTTTCTATGATTTTTTTAATTTTTTTCGAATTTATTATGAATTAAACATTTAATTATGACTTTTGACTATCTTATACTCATATTTAAAGGAGGGGTAAGAATGGAACGAAAACAATGTATGTTTCCTATAGGACTAATATGCTTCTAGTTTGAAATAAAAACATAACAAATCCTATTTTGAGTTTTTATCATAATTTTAGTCCAATTTAAAGTAATTTCTAAAGAAAGAAAGAAAAAAGGTTATATAATTCATTATTTTTAAAAAATAACTGTTGGGCCGAGCATAACATTCTTCAATGGACTGAAGCCCAACCATAATGACTTACTATAAACTATTATACACCCTAGAAAGATCGTATATAAGCATCACTTCGTCCCTCAGGCGTATCTCCAATCGACTATTCGCCCTTCTTCCAGTGCCAGGTATGCCGCCATCTTCAGCCTTCGCTTCTTCAATTGAGCAATCAAGTCCCGTTTCAATTGTCCGAATACGAAACGCATTTATTCTATCTTACAGTGGAGTTTTATATCCATGCTAAATTGCGCGTTCCAAATCTGAAACACTACTCTGCACATTCAGTGTTAAGTACTATTTTTAACACCACAATTTAAAACCATCCTACAGATCTTAATTTCACGTCTCAGATAAGCATTCGTTTTGATATAAAGCTGTGCATGACAGTGTTTCGGCAGTACGTTTTCCGTTTTTTTTTGTTTACAAAACCGTGCTTATGTGACCTTTTCTGTAGTACCAGGATGCATTTTGAATTAGTTAAATGTTTATCTGCAATACTGTCGCTCTACATTTACAGTTTTTGCTGGAAACAGTACAGATGAAACATATGACAGCTTCTTCAGCATTCACATGTCTATTTCTTCTTTGAACAAGAACATCATAATCTCACACTTGTTTTTGTTACCATGCTCTCACTCATTTTTCTCACATGACTGGATAAGGACACTATAGTATTTTTGCACTGACGTTTTGATGAAATATGCATGTCGAGTAATACAGTTCACGATTCAATGTTGTTAACAGGCAGGTTAAAGTTTTGAGAATAACATCTACCCGGAAGAAATGTCTGGGTAAGTCAGTTTTGCTAGAATATATGGTTCAATGGGGTTGCTTCATGTGCAGGGGCGGAGCCAAGGGGGGGTCAGGGGGGTCAGTCGACCCCGCTGAAAGTTTGAGAGCATAGAGCTCTGAAATATCTTCGATTTGATATATTATAGCCCCCGTAACTCATTACGAGTAAAAAGTTATGACTTCTGCAAAATCAGCACTATCTAAACGTAAAATCAGCAAAATTTGATGAGTAATATTGAATTTTTCCCCCAAATTTTAAAATAGCGTATAATTAACTCATTACTTACGTGACATGACTCAAAAATAGAGCAAAAACAGTCTCTTTTATTGTTACGAGTGCCTATTTATCTAAACTACATATAAAATATTCAACTCGGACATACGATCCACCGTTTTCATTTTGTATAAAGTTGATTCTCGACCCCCCTGGACCGTATTTCTGGCTCCGCCACTGTTCATGTGTGGTTCCTTGAATTGGTTTATGTTCAATTTCGGATCTAAATACCTCTATCTATGTTTAGAGGTACATGTTGGAGACATTATATGCCAAGTTTAATTTTTATAAGCCTAATCTTATGTACATATCTAAGTTCAATATATTCTAGAATAGAAGTAGGATGATATCCAAATAAAATTTTATCTTTTATATTTTGGATTGGTGTATTGAAGATTCATCAAGTTTTGCATGTGTACGTGTTTTCCTATGTACTCCCTCCATGAAAATGAAATCCCTATTTTCATCATTCCGTTAAGTTTTGCATTTTAACCTTTACTAAGTACATGTTTTTTAGACAATCTAACTAAAGCTTTCCATTTCAATTTTAAGAAGCAATTAGCACTCCTAAATGTCAAATTAATCATCAGATATTAGAAATGATACGCCTATAAGATCACAATTATCATGAATGACCTCATTATGTTATATATGACCATCAAAATTACTTCTCCAAATGTATTGAATTACTACATTAAATTATTGTCTAAATAACTGTGCCATTTTTCATGCGAAGTTTAAGTCGGGATGTATGTAGTATCTTTTATCCCCTACACTGCCCATTATTCTTAGTTCGTGTTTACTTTCAGAGAGGAAGTTGCAGTTGCAGTTCCAGAGGCTGCTGCCCCAGCGGCTCTTGGGGAACCAATGGACCTAATGACTGCATTGCAATTGGTACTAAAGAAGTCTAGAGCCCATGGTGGTCTTCTTCGTGGGGTCCGCCAATGCTCCAAGGCAATTGGGAAGAACAAAGCACAGCTTTGTGTCTTAGCTGATGATTGTGACCAACCTGATTATGTCAAATTGGTGAAAGCACTCTGTGCTGAAAACAATGTGAAATTGATTTCTGTGCCCACTGCTAAAACTCTTGGGGAGTGGTCTGGCGTAAGTAATTCATATATTTATAATTTTCTTATATCAGATGTTTTTAGGCTATGTTTTGAATCCAGGAAAAAATATTTGAAAGAAATTATCAGAAAATAAAAGTGAAATCAGAAAGAAATATAAAAGAATAATGGAATAATCAAGAAATTTACTCTTTTACCATATACTCCTATCAGAGAACAAACTTAACCTGTCAATTTACTTAGAGAATAATGAAACACAAAAAGTGTTTAGTTGTAATGCAAATATACCATCGAGTTATATATTGAAGAGCATGTATACCCTCCCTTTATTTATTTGTTTATCATATGTAGTTCAAGTGTATTTTTTCTACCAACTTTATATTGTTTGTGCTTGTTTGTTCAAAAGAAAAAGTTGATGCCTGTATTTGTTCCGTGCATATGGTTTATAAGCGTGTTTATTCCGTCTTCTAAAAATAAATGCTCAGTTCAAACTAAATTCCTTTATTTTAGGTATTTTGTGCAAAGTCATTTTTTTTTACTTATGTTGCTGTATATAAAGACTAGAACTAAAATCTATGAACATGTTCAAAAGGTTTTTCATTTCTTTATCCTTTGGCATGGTGAAACTGAATTTCTGAAAGTAACTTATGTTTTTTTATATATTACAATGTTCTACTGGATTAGAGCAAGTTTCCAATTCATATTGCTATTCTTTTGCAGTTATGCAAGATAGATTCCGAAGGAAAAGCAAGGAAGGTGGTTGGATCCTCGTGTGTTGTTGTGGAGGTACCTATCTTGAAATATATTACTTCAGAGGCCCCATGTTTCTCTATCCTGCCCTCTCCAAATCATATTGCCTGTACCAAATTTGGCCATTTTTTGTGGCCCACAATAATTCTTACTTTTACAAATTTAATGGACTTACGTATTACGGAGAATGTTTCTATTTCACTGGCCGTACTGCTGTTCATTTGAAATTTATAATTTGATTATAATACCAAGTACTATGGTAGAGGTCTATATATGTGTAGTAATAGGAATTATAGGATTGAAATGCCAAGTTTTAATGGTCAACTACTATCTAAATGTCCAACTCCTACTTGGTTTGGATTTTTGCAAAATAATTTGCTGTTTACTTTTGAATGAGAAAGTGGTGTGAGTGGATAGTATGGTTCCTTTAAATTTTTTATTGAATCTCTACCTAATCTTATTTTTTGTTCTCATGATTCATTTACCCCATTGGACATGTTTCTATTCTAATGAATCTTTATTGATTTATGTTATCACTTGCTATTGCAGGATTATGGTGAAGACCATGAGGGCTTCCACATAATTAAGAACTTGGAGAAGACTCTTTAGATTATAAAGCACATGTTTTTGGAGTTTGAAAAATGAAATGTTGGGAGCGATTGTTTTAAAGAACTACTGTCGTTATATTGTTTATGTAGTTTTGCATTAGATTAAGGCGGAGAAACTGATGCTTTTCAATTGGACGTATCCATATATCATTATCATGTTTGGTTTTGTTAACTTTTTGACTTGCTTAACCCTGGCTTCTTTTCATTTGAACGTATACGTATTACCGATTCACTTTTTCTTTACCGAGGGATAGGGCTGGATTCGGGTCCGGGCCTAGGGTTGGACTTGGGCCGGGCGGCCCGAACCGGAACCGGCCCGGCCCGGCCCGGTCACTCTTTGGGCCGGCCTGGCCCGGCCCATGGGCGGTTCGGGTTGACCCGTCCCGGTGGCTACTGGTTCCGGGCTCGGGCCTTCATTTTGGTGAACCGGCCCTGCCGGTTCGGGCCTGGTCCAGGCCGGATGGATTGGGTATTTTGGGCCATTTGGGGTGGTTTGGGGTTGAGGGGGAGGGTGGGGAGTTGATTAGGAAAACCCCAAAAAAAAATATATATATATATAAAATTGAACTGGGCCCGACCTGGCCCAATCCGGACCCAGGGTTACCCGGGCTGGTTCCGGGCCTCCCCTACCTTGAACCAAGACCCGGCCGGTTCAAGGCCTGAACCGTGCCCGGCCCGGAACCGGTCCACCCCTATCCGGGCCTTGGCGGGCCACCGGTTCTGAATAGCTGGGCCCGAGACCGGCCTGGGTAGCCATTGGGTCAGGTCTAAGCCGGGCCTAGGCCCGGGTAGCCATCGTTGGCTTCGGGTCAATATTTTTTTCCTTTTTCCTAATTAACCCCCCACCCCCAACCCCCAAACCATCCCAAATGGCCCAAAATACCCAGCCCAACCCGAAAAGTTTAAAAAAAAATGGGAAAAAAAAATAATTAAAAAGCCCGGATCTGGGCCTGAATTGGCCGGGCCGGCTCGGCTTTTGGGTGACCCGAGCCCGCACTGGGACCCCCCAGGCCGGGCTTACCCGGACCGGTCACTGGCCGGGCCATCGGGTCGGGCTGGTTCAGCACAGTACCTTTCCCGGGCCGGTACCGGGTCGGGCCACCCGGCCTGAGTCCAGGACTACCGAGGGATATGCTATTTGGAGTTCCATATTAACTTCATGGAAATGAGCAACGAACATCTATCACTGAAACTGTCTCTTCGTTATGTTCGGTACTATAAAAAAATTGAAGTATTAATTAACTAACAAAAACTGATTTGGCCTATGGAGGGCTTACAGAATGCTGTGGTTGGCAGCTTGATGAACATGATTAAATGTGGGTGGGATCTGGATACCCTTAATGATATTTTTATTCCAAGAGATGTAGCTTTGATTAAAAGTATTCCTTTAAGCTCTCGATCGGTAAACGATAGGGTGTGTTGGAAATGGGAAACGGGGGGGGGGGGGGGGGGGGGGTTACTGTAAAGAGTTGCTATAGGCGCTTAGTCGGGGATATCATTAGTGAGGAGTGGACGGGGTGGTCTTCTATGTGGAATTTTAGGTTACCCCCAAAGATTAAGAACTTTTTTTGGCAGGTCTGTGTTGGTTGCTTACCGACAACGAATAATTTGAAATCTCGAATGGTGGATTGTAATGTGAGCTGCGGGTTGTGTGGTGGAGAAGATGAATCTTTGTTTCATATTTTTATCTCTTGTCCAGAGGCTAAAGAGGCATGGAGGGCTGTTCAATGGAAGTGGTCAACTCCTATGGAGAGCTCTTTCTCCAGGCAGTTGCAGCGAGAGTTTCAAGAGAAAGGAAGATTTGTCTAGATTAATATGGGGGTGTTGGGGCATTTGGTGTGAAAGAAACCAGAGACTTTGGCAGGGTGTTTATACGGAAGCCAATTTTATTTTGCAAAAAACTAAAATCTTTGTTTCAGGTTGGGAGCAAGTACATCAAGTATCCAGTAAGCAACGGGGCAGATTATTGCAGGAAGGTCCGGGGTGGAATTGCCCTAAACCTGGAAGACTTAAGCTCAACGTGGACGCAGCGGTTAGAGTGGATCGATGCAGGCTTGGCTGGATTTTGCGGAATGAGAACGGGGACTTTGTGGCCGGAGTGTCCATGCCGTGGCAAGGGAAACTTTCACCGTTGGAAGCAGAATTAATTGGAATCCGAGAGGCTCTCAGTTGGACTTTCGAGCAAGGCTGGAATGCAGTCGACGTGGAATCGGATGCTTCCCGTGCTATCTCAGAAATTCAACAAGGTTCTAGCACATCAACGGTGGGGTTGCTAGCGGGTGATATGAATGAAAAAGGAACTAGTTTTATTGATATTTCTTTTACTCACATTAGACGCTCTGCGAATAGGCCGGCTCATGAGTTAGCTCAAGCTGCATGTTCTTTGTCTGAGTGTTGTATTTGGGTTTCGAATGCTCCTATTTTCTTATCGCATGTATTAAACTCTGATTTTATTAATAACAGTTAATCTATCTCTTCTAAAAAAAACTGATTTGGCCTTGAAAATAAAACTGTTGCTTTTGTGTCTACTCTTGTGACTTGTGGGATTGATTATGTTACTAATGTAACTAGTTAGGTGTTTAGCTATCGGTTTAGTGCGTTGAACTGTGAAAAGTAGATTCTATTCGTTTATTCCTTTATCGTTTAAATTTTAAAATTGCATCAAACTTATAAGAGTTATATCATAATTAGTTCATTTTTGAGACAACAAATCTAACACTTTACATATAGACATATAGTACTCCCTCCCTCCCATAAAATTGTTCTCGCATTGACTTAGATCGGAGTTTAAGAAAGTGAGAATAAAGTGGAAATGTATGGTTGTGGTTGTGTAAGAAAAAAGTAAATGAATGTGAGCCACACAAAACTTTCAAAAATGGGAACTATTTTTTAGGAAGGCCCAAAAAGGAAACCGAGAACTATTTTGCGGGACGGAGGAAGTATCATTTTTTAAAATGGTTGAAGTTGTCTTGTGAGAATGTTATGCACGAAGACACGAAGTATATGATTGACATCTTTTTAAAAGATGTGTAACACCCTTTATTAGGGCTGGATTCGGGTCGGGTCGGGTCCAGGCCTAGGCCTGGGCGGGCCGTCGGTTCTGAATAGTTGGGCCCGGGACAGACCCGGGTAGCTACCGGGTCCGGGCTGGACCGGGCCTCGTTTTTTTTTTTTTTTTGCTTTCCTAAGTATCCTTGACCCCCCCCCCCCTCACCCCCACCCCCCCAAACCCCCCCAAACCCCTCCTAAACATCAAGCCCAACCCGGGTGGAACCCAAAAAAATGAAAAAAAAAAATCAATTTGGCCTGAACCGGGCCCAGGCCGGGCCTTCTTTTCACTGACCCGAGCCCGCCCCACTTTTCCTAGCTAACCGGGCCTTAGACCGGTTTGGGGCCCGCAGCACCGTGTCGGGCCAGGCCGATCCCGCACATTAGCGGGCCGGGCCGGTTCCCGGGCCGGGTGGCCCGAACCGAGTCCAGGACTACCCTTTATATTATACCAAGAGATGATGCGTACAATTTAAAATGAAATATTAGGCAATATCCGGTGGCGGAGCCACAAAAACAGTCGAGGGATCGAAAATCAACTATATACAAAATGAAAATGATGGATCGTTGTTAGACAATGTCCGATTTGAATGTTTGATATGTAGATTATCTTTGCTCTGTTTATGTATCATGTCACGTAAGTAATGATTTAATTATATGATGTTTTTAAAATTTGGGAAAATAATCCATATTAAGTATCAAATTTTGTTGATTTTGCGTTTAGATAGTGCTGATTTTCCAGAAGTTATGAATTTTTACTCGTAATGAGTTACGAGGACCATTGTATATTAAACAGAGCCCAAAAGATGTTTGACAATTCTTTGACATATATGTAACCCTCAGTAGTGAGTTTCCTTTTAGGTCTTCTAAATTGATTCAATTGCCATTCTCCACTTGACTATTGCTTATGCGTGCAAACAATAGTTGTCTTTGTGCCCAATTTTAATTGTGTGTCTGAATGAATATGAATTTTCAAATAGAAAATTCCCACAAAGATAATAGTTGTGCATCGATATAATAATTATATGTGTGGTTTATGAATTTTTCAAATATATATTACAAATAAACCCGAATTGTATGTGACCTAATTTGAAAAGAAATAATTACATATTTATGATTAAAATAAATATTGTTTATAAAAATGTGACTAGAGACTATAGTAGTAATGAAATCATAATAATTTATATTCAATTTATAATTTAAGTTACTATAACAGTACATCATATCAATTATTAGTCATATTTGTGTAAATAATTTTTATTTTAGTAATGTTTTTGTAAAAGCCCCATTTGAAATACAACCATTGTCTAGTTCTCGGCCAAATTACAAGATTGGTAAAAATAGAGGTGATGGAGTATATGGCCCAGGAACCCCCGGCCCATAGACTCCTACTTCTCCTACACAAGTCCATTGAGCCCAGAAAACAACTCGGGCCCAAATACGACGGCCCAAGCCTCAAAGTAACCCAGAATACACACTGGGGTGCCTTCGGCCTCCTTGGCCGAAGGCTCCAAAACTCACAGGATAGCCTTCTCTGGCATAAGAAGCTGCTGGGAGAAGACGGGCGAAAACATGAGCCTTCGGCATTTTCATGCCCTCGGAATCGGAGAAGCCTTCGGCTGAACCAAGCCTTCGGCTACACAAGGAGCCCTCGGCTACAAGGAGCCCTCGGTTACACCTGGGGCCCTCGGCTACACCGGGAGCCTTCGACTGAACTAGCTCAATCATCGAAGATTCCTTTTAGAGACAGCCAACCACCGCATTTAATGCCACGTCGCATCCGCCAACCGCATTCAATGCGGTTGACGTACCACTGCCGGTGCCACCAGGCTGATGTGACCCTTCGGCCGTTGGATTACTGACACGTGTCCTCTCACCGCATTTATTGCTGCTATAAATAGCAGCCCATTTCTCCTTGTAATCGACACAATCTACATCTCAACTCCACATCTCGAGTTCATTTAATAAAATCGACTCTCTCTCCTCCTATTTTGCTCTGACTTCTCTCTAGTTATTCCCGCAATAACCCCTCGGATAAGATACCCCCCGGGTAGACTATCCGTCATTTGGTGCTCTCGTTGAGAGTTCTGAACTATCAAGTAAGAAACCCTCCCCCTCTACCGAATACAAAACACCTACCAAAAATGGGAAGAACCACTCGTGCCCAATCCAAAAACCTAGA